CCACAATAGTTCTTCAGTTAGTTTGGTCAAACTCGCATTCAGCAATAGCTCTCACTTTGGTCAAACTCATTGGAATCGGTCATATGTAGAATTTTGTTTCATTGGCAGTGGAGAGTTAAACTAGTAGGCTCTAGCTGTGGGTATATAATTAGGTGTTGTTAATATCTTCTGACCCTTGAGGTACCTGTACTTTCATCATCATTAAGACATATTTAATGCAGTTTGCTATTTAGTCATGCTCTCAAACTGAGATCCAGGTTTATGAAGGCAGGCACTAGGAACTAAATCTATGAGATAAATATGAAAGGTGCACTTTCCTATACTGTCAGTTTTCTCAAGATTAGTTTTAGTAGAGAAGGAAGAGTTAAAATATTTAACTGGTATGTCATTTGAAATGTTTCATATTCAACAAGCATTAGTAGTATTATGGAATAAAATGCAAATAAAAATAAATTTTAAAATAAACATAGGACTTCAAAGATAGATCAGGCTTAAACTGGATACTTTTCTAGTCTCCCAAAGCCCCTTGAAAATATTTTTTGTTTTGTTTTCCTTTGTAATTTGGGGTTAGTCAATGAAAAAGTTTGACAGGGAATGCTGTGAGCAAATGAGCATGGGCTTGGGTGTCATACAGATTTAGATTTATACCACATATGTGCAAGTTACCCAATGTGTGATTTTTGGCAAGTTACTCAGTTTCCTCACTTGCAAGTAGAAGAGGATGATATTTCACGGGGTTGTTGGAAAGATTAAATTAACAACTATAAAGTACTTAGCACAAAAAGGTGCATAATAAATCTCAGTCTCGTGCTGGGCTGGTGGCTTATACCTGTAATCCCAACATTTTGGAAAATGAGGCAGGACGATCTCTGGAGGTCAGGAATTCAAGACCAGGTAGATAACATCAAGATCCTGTCTCTGCAGAAGAATGAAGGAAAAAAATTAGTTGGATGTGGTAGCATGTTCCTATAGTCTTAGTTACTTGGGAGGCTGGGCAGGAGGATAGATTGAGCTTAAAAATTTGAGTCTGCAGTGAGCTGTGGTTGTGCCACTGCACCCCAGCCTGTGTGACAGAGCAAGACCCTGTCTCTGGGGGAAAAAAATCTTAGTCTCTTTCTCCAGTTAAAAAATATTCTAGTGTGTGTATACAATGAATATATCCTCATGGAACACCTAACTTAGCAGAATGCTAATGTATGAGTGTGAGATACAGGTATTTTTTTTAAAATGCCTATAATTGTAAAAGTCTTAAAGGTTAGAGTGCTTTTACATCCTTTGACTTGATCCTTTTTTTTTTTTTAAAGATTACCTTTTTATTTATTTATTTATTATTTGCAGTTTTTGGCCAGGGCTGGGTTTGAACCCACCACGTACGGCATATGGGGCCATTGCCCTACTCCTTTGAGCCACAGGCGCTGCCCCTTTGACTTGATCCTTATGGTAATCCTATGAACAGTTAACTAGCGTCCCCACTTAGGGTTACTACACTGAAGATTAAATATTTACTACGTGCTAGTTACGTGCCAGGTAATGGTAAACAAGGCAGATTCTGTGCGCTCTCAAAGCCTATAATCTATCAGGATCGTCATTGAGTATTTCTTTTTTTTGAGAGAGAGCTTCAAGCTGTCTCCCTGGGTAGAGTGCTGTGGCATCACAGCTCACAGCAACCTCCAACTCCTGGGCTCAAGCGAGTCTCCTGCCTCAGCCTCCCAAGTAGCTGGGACCACAGGCGCCCGCCACAATGCCTCGTTATTTTTTGGTTATAGCCATCATTGTTGTTTGGCGGGTCCAGGCTGGATTCGAACCCGCCACTTTAGGTGTATGTGGCTGGTGTCTTAGCCACTTAAGCCACAGGCGCCGAGCCTGTTATTGAGTATTTCAGACATGTATTTCTGACTTGTGTTGCTGTCTAGATATAATACTAAGGGTAGACAATATTATTGCTGTTTATAGTTAATATGTCAAAGTAATGAGATATTTTCATGTTGATTGGACTATTTTCTGGTAATGTATGACAGGAGTAATAGGAATATTTTTGTTATAACTGGGGAAAAATTTGTTTAAGCCTAAGAACATAGATTTGGGCCAGGCACTGTGGTTCACATCTATAATCCTAGCACTCTGGGAGGCTGAGGCAGGTGGATTGCTTGAGCTCAGGAGTTCGAGACCAGCTTGAGCAAGAATGAGACCCTGTTGCTATTAAAAATAGAAAAATTAGCTTGGTGCTTGTAGCTCAGTGACTAGGGTGCCTACCACATACACTGAAGCTGGAGGGTTCAAACCTGGCCCAGGCCTGCTAAACAACAATGACAATTACAACAACAACAACAAAAATATCTGGGCATTGTGGCAGGCGCCTGTAGTCCCAGTTACGTGGCACTGAGCTATAGGTGCCAAGCCTGATTCAGTTTATAAAAGATTTATACATTTAGTTAAGAGTTTTGCATAGATTGAGCTATGGTATTATGATGTCTGCTTTGTCTGGTTTGGGCAACAGACAGTCTTTGTATAATGAACCTAAGAAGCTTCTCTGTAAGTTTCCATGCTAACCTATGTTAATATTTAACAAACAGATGGTGCCCATAGCTCAGTGGGTAGGGCATCGGCCATGTACACCTAAGGCTAGTGGGTTCGAACCTGACCTGAGCCAGCTAAAAACAACAATGATAACTGCAACCAAAAAAAATAAAAAATAGCCAGGTGCTGTGGTGGGTGCCTGTAGTCCCAGCTACTTGGGAGGCTGAGGCAAGAGAATCACTTAAACCCAAGAGTTTGAGATTGCTCTGAGCTGTGACACCATGGCACTCTACACAGAGCAACAGCTTGAAACTCTGTCTCAAAAAAAAAAAATTAACAAACATACATATTTCCTTACTTTTTTCTTTTTTCTTTATTTTTTGAGACAGAGTCTCACTCTGTTGCCCGAGGCTAGAGTGCAGTGGCCTCAGCCTAGTTCATAGCAACTAAAACTCCTAGGTTCAAGTAATCCTCCCTATGTTGCTTAGACTTGTCTCAAACTCCTGAGCTCAAGGGTTTCTTCCATGTTGGCCCAGAGTACT